CCTGCCTTAGGGTGTGCAGGGATGACGGGTGATGCCGGCTGCCTGGCTCTGGGTGTCTCATCTGGATCTGGGGGACTCAGGGCTCCCAGCTCTTCCACCTCCTCACTGGGACCAGAAGTGGTGGAAAACACACCTGTGGCACTGCTGGCCGGGTAGAAATGTGAGTCGGGTGAACATCCTTGCCAGGATCTGTGGGGCCACTGCTCATCCCCACGGTGGGTGGTCATGCACCCCATTTTGGGTGTCTCTTGTTGTCCAAGCCCTGCTGGGAAGGGTGCCTGGACTGGTTTCCTGTCATCCCAGCCCTCTGACCTTCTGGGAGGCTGATCTTCCTTTTGTGGAGAGAGAGATATTTCATTTTTGACCTGAAAACACTTACATGGACCCGAGGAGGCAACGTCCCAGTGCTGGGTATGCAGCAGAATGCTGAGAGATATTGGGGAAGTATTGGGGAAGGAGTGGGGACACTATGGGAGAACAGAGGCCAAAGAAACCAAAACCAGGACTGGAGAAATGACGGTGAAACCTCCCTCAAGTGCTGCAGGGTGTGCCGGGCACAGCCGATACCACCCTGCTGCACGGGATCATAAAAACTCAGCTGGTCCTGGCTGCCAAGTGCGGGTGTAAACACCCGTGGGTGCACTCTGCCCCGTGGCAGTAGGGGGGCTCTGCTCTCCGTAGGGCTGAGCCACGTCCCACGGTGGCCACGTATGGCTGTGGCAGAGCCATCGGTATGTCTGGCATGTTCCTCCCAAAAACTAGCCACCCCTCTTATCCGGGGGTTACGGGGGTGATGCCTGCAGTGACCGCGGGCTCTGCGGTCCCTTGCCGAGGGTTTGCCCTCTCGGTCTGGAGGCAGAGTGGGTATCGCCGAAAGTGCTGAGCACCACGGCCAGGATTGGAGGCAGACCTGAGCTCTGACCCATTTCCAGCTCCTCAGAGAGGAAATCCGGGGTCCAAAGGGCATCACAGCGCAGCTGCCGAGGGCAAAGCCGAACCTGCCCTTGAATTGGGAGCAGCCAGTGCCCTGAGGAGGGCAGGGGCTGCCTCGACTGCCTGTGCCCCCTCCGGCGCAATGCTCATGGCCGAGAAGCACCAGCGATGGTGCGGAGCATGGGGTGGGCGCTGTGGGGTGGCTGCCATGGCAGGATGTGGGGTGACGGTGTGGTGGGGGGGGTTGGAGTGTGCTGGAATGGGCACAGTGAGCCCCTCCTCCTACTCTCTGAAAGTCATCCCCTCCCTAACACTTGCCATGTGCTCAGTCCAGCTGGGATGGGGTGATGCCGGAGGACTGCCCTGTGCCCTGGGGATGTTGCAGGGGGAGACATGGCACATGGGCCCTCCTGCACCTTGGCCTCCTCAGGACCTGGGTGCCCAGTGCCACATGTGTCCCCATATTGGATTGCATCCATGCCCCATGCCCTGTGTCCCCATGTCATCCTGCTGCAATGTCACACGTGTCCCCACGCTGTCCTGCAGCAATGCCCCACGTCACACGTGTCCCCATGTGGGTCTGCAGCTGTTCCCACCCAGATGGGGAACAGGATGCGTCCAACTTGAAGGCCATGCTCTCCAGAAAGCCCGCCTGGCTCTGGGGCTGTGTCCATGATGGCTGTGCCATGTCCCCACAGGTGCTGTCAATGGCAACGATGTCGATGCAGCCGGGTGGGGGGCTGGCTGGGCTCCATCCTCACCTGCGCGCTGCCCATGTGGAAGGTGACGGCCTTCATCGGCTCCAACATCGTGGTGGCCCAGGTCTTCTGGGAAGGGCTGTGGATGAACTGCGTGTACGAGAGCACGGGCCAGATGCAGTGCAAGGGCTACGACTCGTTGCTGGAGCTCACCTCTGACCTGCAAGCCGCTCGGGCCTTGGTGGTCACCTCCATCTTCACGGCCCTCTTCGCCTTCCTCGCTGCCATCTCGGGCGCAGACTGCACCCGCTGCGTGGATGACACCACCACCAAGAACAGGTTCTCCGTCGTGTCAGGTGTCATCTTTATCCTGGCCAGCATCATGCTGCTCATCCCCGTCTCGTGGTCTGCTAACAGCATCGTCACCAACTTCTACAACCCCATGGTGCCCCAGGCCCTCAAGAGAGAGCTGGGGTCTGCCCTCTACATCGGCTGGGCCTCCAGCGCCCTCCAGCTCTTTGGCGGGGGTGTTCTGTGCTGCTCAGGGTCCTCGACCCAGGAGGAACCCTACCCCAAGAAGTACAGAGCGGTGAAAACCAGCAACCCGATGGGCTATGCCATGAAGGACTACGTGTGAGCCACCAGCCCAAGGCACAGCACCATTGTGCCATCCTGCCACCCCCTCTGACAACGCACCCCCGTGCTGGGGCCCCCTGGCACAGTCCTGCCACACGTGCCCTTTCCTGGCGTGCCGGGCTATAAAATTCTTGGTGCCACCAAGGCTGTCTGGGCTTGTTGTGAAGCGTCGTGGTGGGAGAGGGGAGGACAGTGACATGTCCTATGGTGTCATGCTCTTGCGCCCGGCATGCCCCCATGAAAATGCCAGCCTTGCTCATGCCCCAGGAGGGAAACTGAGGCAGAGGGAGGGTCAGAGGCAAGAGGCGCATGGGGATGCACCAGGTTCCCTGAGCTTGGGGACTGGGAGGGGACCCAGAGAAAGGCCAAATCCCCCCCTTCCCATTCCCCACCCCGGAGGGTCCATAGCCCCACTGCTCCAAGAACGAGTCCCAGCAGACTGGCAGCAGAGACAGGGGGTTTATTAAACAGCCAAGTGCAGGGGTGGGGGCAGCCACGACCCCCAACTGCCCCAGTGACAGTGCTGGTGACAGATGAGGAGAGAGGGGAGCAGGGCACGTACCCTGATGGGCTCAGGGACCCTAAGAGCTGGAGGGGGGCAATGTGGAGGGGTGACAAGAACCACAGGGAGGGTGAGTGTGGGAGATGTGGGGGATGGGGACAGCTACAGCTCTCGAGGGGAAGGAAGCAACTTGTTCCCCACGGCTCATCCCATGGGAACAGGACTAACAAGAACAGGTCTGAGGGAAGAGAAAAGGAAAAAAGGAAATATCCCAGCAAGAGATTTGGGTAAAAAACTTCCCAAGGGAGCAGTGGAGGAGGAGGAGTGGAGGCAGCACAGCAAGGGGCTCGGGGAAC